AGTTGTGTTACACAAGGCCAGTATGACATAGCATGTCAGTGTTCTCCACCATACTATGGGAAATACTGCGGTAAGTACAATGGCTTCAAACAATCGTTCTTGTACCCTCCTTTTATTTTTCTTGCATTTCATTTGAATCATTTTGATGCTTTAAAACTACAGATTCAAAATCCATCTCAACGATCCAGCCATCAAGTAAGTATTACAGCAGAGAGCCAAACGCTAACGACAACGATTTAAAGATGATATCAGCTTTAATAACGATTAAGCAAACTTTGAGAATTCATCTCCATTCCTACAGTATGCGTATGAGTGTCTGACATCACGTGACCAAAATATAAACTGATTTCTGATTGGCTCTCACTCAGATCATTTACGTACAATTTGTACAATGTTTTCTATTTTTGGTTGTTAATCCTGAATTAAAATCAGGGACGCGCGCAGGGTTTTCATGAGAGTTGCCACAATTGGACTGTGTGAAGCTCCATTTGGATTTCAGTTTTTTCATTTGAAATTATATCACTCTTGTACTTACGATATTAATTGTTATTTCATAACCTTATCAGGTACTCGCTCATCACTATCATCATCATCATCATCATCAGGTGAGTATGATGAAAAAAACGATCAGACGACCAGAAAATGAAGAAGATGAGGGGAAAATGGGAAAATAAAAATAAAAAGGAAGAAAACAAAACAAGTGAAGCTCAAGACTCTTATCAGTTGCCACAATTTGTCGTATCTGAATCTCTCATTAAAATATGACATAAGAAATACAAGTTAATTTCGAAGACACAAAGAAAAAAATTCATCTCAATTATTACATATTATCAGAACAAAACCAGTTGTATCTATCAACTTTATCTGTAATCTTCATCTTGTAGTGTTCATCTGGGATGATAGATGTTTATGGAATCCTTGCCAAAACGGCGGTAGTTGTGTTAAACAAGGCCAGTATGACATAGCATGTCAGTGTTCTCCACCATACTATGGGAAATACTGCGGTAAGTACAATGGCTGCCACCAATCGTTTTTATCCCTTTTATTATTTTTGCGTTTGATTTGAATCATTCTAATGCTTTAAAACTACAGGTTCAAAATCCATCTCAACGATCCAGCCATCAAGTAAGTATGACATCAGAGAGCCAAACGCTAACGACAACGATTTAAAGATGAATAATGATTAAGCAAACTTTGAGAATCCATCTTCGTTCCTACAGTCTGCGTATGAGTATCTGAAATCATGTGACCGAAATATAAACTGATTTCTGATTGGCTCTCACTCATTTACGTAAAATTAGTAAAATTTTGTCTATTTTTGGTTGTTAATCGTAAAAATTAAAATCAGGGACGCGCGCAGGAGTTTCATGGATGAGAGTTGGAACAATTGTACTGTTATCCAGCTCCGTTTTGGATTTCAGTTTTTCCTTTTGAAATTATATTGCTCTTGTACTTGCGATATTAAKTGTTATTTATTTTATAACCTTATCAGGTACTCGCTTTGCAATATCATCATCATCATCATCATTATACTCAGGTGAGTATGATGAAAAAAACGATCAAAACAGAAAATGAATATCAATGAGGGGACAATCACCATGGTGACTAAAAAAACTATAAACTACTTAGTTCCTGATATTTTTAAAGCGATAGCATGTTCTGACTTTCCCTTTCTGTTAATTTAGCTGTATCTTGGAGAGCTCTTGTCGCCCGTTTTTGTGTCTATGTGAATTATATTTCGCTTTTTTTTCTCAGAACTAGTTGTATCTATGAATGCTACAATTTACAATAAACGATGCTCAGTTAATAAGTTCATTATTAGGTGCAGCAATAATGAAAACTCCAATTCATTACTGATTATTAACGTATATTAACATGCAGTAATATACGATCACATTTGTGACATTGGTCGTCCATGTCCTGGCGGAACCTGTGTTAAAACGAACAACATCTTCGGCTACACATGTTCTTACAGTAAGTAGAGTGAACGTCACTAATTGACTTTTCCTTTAATGAAGTCATGCTTGTTTTAGCGCAGTGCATCATGGTATAGATAGGGGATGTCGTTTGGCGCAGGTTGAAGTTTCTGCTTTGAAGAATTTAAGTTATCAGTTGCCAAGGATATCATAATCATTTCATTTGAATCATTTTAATGCTTTAAAACTACAGGTTCTTCATCGGTAAGAGAACCCATCTCAACGATCCAGCCATCAAGTAAGTATGACAGCAGAGAGCCAAACGCTCATGACAACGATTAAATACGATATCAGCTTTAATAATAATTACGAAAACTTTGAAAATTCATCTCCGTTCCTACAGTCTGCGCATGAGTGTCTGATATCACGTGACCGAAATATAACCCGAGTTCTGATTGGTTCTCACTCAGATCATTTACGCGCTCTCTCTATGGCTGATAAGTCTTTGAAATCAAAGTGACACGTTTCGGTTACTGCCATCGCGGATAAAGAGGACAATAGTTACATATTTGTGCAATTCACACTGTGACAGGTCCAATATCAGTATAGCCCTTCACCCCTACCATGTGGGATACTGATTACCTGCTGTTGTCGCTTCTTCTAGTTACTTTTTGCATTAGATTAATTTTAGTGTTTTACCCCAAACAGGAGTTTCCAGGTCGTCACGTCCACCGCTTTCAACAGTACAAAGTGAGTATGATAACTATCGTCGGTAGTCAAGAAAGTTTATAATATAGTTTTAATAGATTGGTACATCCATTTATCATTAATTTCATCTGGAAATTTATCTCGTGGGTACCGGCCCCAGATCCTTCTCTTCCGAGACACAGTAAGCCCGTAACGGAGTTGCTAAGGAATAAGTATATTTCAAAAACGTACCACGTGAACCCTTGATTAGTCGAAAGGAAAATTTTATAGCAAGCTAAGAACGCCTTCCCTGATTGGTTCAAACAAGGGTCGTACATTCCTATGTAGACTGGGAAGTTTGATGGCAAATTTGCAAAAGCCACAATTTGCTTTTCCCTGATTTTACAGACTCTTCATTTAATTTCGACTTTTATTTCGGTGCACAGCTTAGAGTACGACTCCAAGGTGCTTGGTTAATAAGATAAAAAGAGTGTATTTTCAGAGATACTGACAGTGTATCTGTGTTCTTTAGAGCGAAGTCATCCTGTTGATAAACGCAGCCAGGTAAGATCTAAACTGTCACATGCGCAGAGTAAAGAAAACGATTTATAACTTATAAAACAAAGTACCCTGTTGATAGGTCCCAATCCCCTTCCAAAGAACCTAATACTTAGGTCATAAAACCAACATGTAACATCACCTGTTGAAGACTACATCGCATCCACGAATTGCAATGATTGACCAGTTGTGTCAAAATATATCGTTTTCAGCACTTATCCTGAGCCAGTCAGTGTTTTGGCCTAGAAAAATTGAAGGAATACAAATCCCATCATGCTTTATTATACAAAATGGCGTCGACTATTGTGACGACTAAATTAGACCATGGTTGTCCCTAGGTGAAGAAATAGATTCCTTCCAAATGGACGTTAGGAACCTCCTTCGGGACTAAATGAGTTCATTGTTTTGTTAGACAAGCGACGCATCATGTGAGCACTTATCATCGATGACTCAAAGAGTTTTTGCTGATCCACGAGTCGATTGGAAAAATATCCACCCTGCCATCAAAGATGTGGCCATCAACCTTGTTCGCCATGACGACCACAAGGGAATATCACCAAGAGCGCATGCTCTAATACGACATGCACTGGCCACAAACAGCTTGAAGGACATGAGAAGAATCATGTCGCAGAGAAAGAACTGGAAGAGAGTTCCGATCAATCATTTCATGTTGAGAAAAAAGCATCTTGATGAAGCGCTGAAGAATCCTTTTGGTTTTGTTTTGAAACGGCAAAGCAAAATGATGACTTGTGAGTGATAAGCAGGAAATCTACGACGATGAAGTCTTTCTCAATTGGGAAATCAACGGGAATGGTTTTAGGGTCTTTAGTTGTTTAGATATGTGGGTGGGGTGGTGATATCAACAATGTCTTCTGAAATTTTTAAAAAGGTAATAAATACATGAAAATTGAGCAATTATTTAATTGCAATTTGTGTTTTCTGCAACACTAGTCCTCGAGGATTTTAGTTCTTAAATTGCAATGAGTATTTTCTCGAATTCTTCTCGGGATTTTAGTCACTTTTAAGGTGGAAGCGGTACAGAGGGAAATCGCGAGAAAACCTCTGGATCCAAAGTAGCTTTCAGTAATTTATCTCATTAAACGTGAATACTGACAAGTGTCATTTGGATATATACATACGCAGTGTCATGTCAAGAACTTTGTTATTCACAAACAGGAAACCACGACAAATATAGACTTTTGTAAAATGTGATTTCTACTCTATGAAAATAATAAAGTGTTTCCCAGCATCTAACTCATGTAAAGTAGAGAGGTTTTCTTAGTCTCACGCCCACCTAAATTCTTAATCATTACAGTTGTTAAGGTGCCACGATCAATTAGCCTGATCATCCGACTACCAGTTTAATATCTCGAAGTGCGTGGGACCTCAAGTGGTTTGTTTTCARCAAATTTCGACTTCCTCGAGATCCAATCAARAATTTGACAGGCATTGAATACATGGATGAAGAAGCGGTTCGGCGCTCATTGATGAAAACCATTTTTTTTTTCAATGTAATTATGTGAGAGAATTGTTCTAGACTSTGAATACTTTGATTATCTGTTAGATGTAAACGACTTCGTGGGTGGATCGTTAATATAATGAGATTTTTTATAGTTTGTTTAAAGTACTGTTTTTTTTTATTAAAGAGTAAAGATACATTATATTCGGGCAACAGCAGAGAGGGAAAGATGACTATCGACTCTCACGATCTGCAGTACGAGAGAGCTTAAACAAAAGAGCAACTTTTCACGTTTACGGCAAACGCAAAATGACCCATTCTGCATCGAAACGGCTTTCAATCGATCGTGACGTGGTTTCGCTGTCATTAAAAGACATTTGATTGCCTCGTTAGGTCRCGTAATAGGAAGATTTAAAGCCAGTAGCCGCGGAGTAATCAACTCGAGGTAACGCAGATATACACCCTCACTTTACATAGACACTTCGTCAGATAAGTGGATTATATCATAACTGCGAGGAAGAACGTTTAGCACCCTYGTGCAATAATTCATCTCATAAAGGACCACTCTTTGATTTGATAATTGATTTATTCATTTCTCATTAATTTGATAAATTTGACATTGTGTTATAATATTTGCTTGTCCTAACTATAGTCTAATACGTAAAAATATCAAYTTTATATTACTAATTGAATTAAGTATACAGTGCTTTGCAAAAATTCAGCCGGAAAACKTCAACAGCTATATCTATATTATATATATCGTGTRCATTGTGGYAATTTTCACTGAAAAACTGGCAAAAAATTCTCTATTKCCGATAAGGTTTAACATTAACCAAAGCAATTGCAGTTGTCGAAAATTTAGTAATTACAATATATGTATATATAGATATTGTTGATTGTTGATATTTTTGGTATATGCCTTCAACATTATGAAGGAACACATATTCATCTGACACAGACTGACCACATGGACCACTTGGTGGACGRCTTATAAAATAAAAGAACAATAAATATACATTCTTAATTTTCTAGCAGTAGCAAGCTGCACTACTGCATAATATATAAATACTTTTGTCTAAATTATATTACTTTGTAAACAATTTATATCTTATCTAGCGTCTCTGCTTATATTTACAGCGATTTGCAGACATTTTGACTCGTAAGCCTTTSAAAACCTGTAGTTTGAGTACACAGTGTAGTGAGATAAATAGCTAAGCGCCAGCGCTYAACCACTTCCSCACATACGCAAATGCAAACCTACCCAAACTACACATACTGATAGATAAATTAAATTATATTAGGTACATCAGCAAAAGTTGTCATAACATTTGCAATTCGCTGTATTAACTTAATATAAGAAYCTATGATAAAACTTTCTCATCTCCCTCTATATATAATCTATATATTATAAAAACTCTTGCAAGGAACGGAAAATTGATTAATCGTTACAACTTACACTATATAATTCTATATAAATAATGCAAATGAAAATTGATGTCTTGTCTGGAGCCTCGTTTCTTGGCTCCCATTCATTATATCGCATGCTAATGGCGTTTTATAACTGGAATTGAAATACTAAACTCTAGAAACTGGTGCCATTCTTAACTCACTGCTGCCAGAATCTTCTTTTCTCCCTAGTCCAYAATGGTGGACTACGACTTTGTCAACCGTCTTCGTGTTAGTTTAAGTGTTGGTTGATAACCAGAAAGAATGCTGAAATGTTTGTTCTACTTGTTTTGTGTCCTTTTTTAGGTTTTCCRTCCTTTCGAACTCCAATATACATGTCTTTCTTTTTGTGTCGATGTTCTGATTTGAACGTGGAGAAGGAATTTGGCGCCATTTCTTGAAGAAACACAGTGTCCTTGTTTGCTTTCATCTGTGTCAAATTAAAAGAGAAAACATCACTTACAAAATTAAAACAAATCGAATAAAACAGGCTATGATTTATATTTTAAGTAGTCCACGTTTTGATTCATTTAACTCATTAGAAAATTAGAAAATTAGTCAAATCAAACTTTGCGACTCACCGTTGTATATAGAACTCCTCGGGAATTCATGGCTAAATATCGTTTAGATTTTTTCCCATATATTCGCACATATCCACACGCTTTTATCGACTCCATTTGAAGTTGAACTGAAGAAAAGTAAGTTTAGGTTAGAAATCTYATTGCTTTAATGACATAGTTAATAAAAAAGATGTCATTCAATTCAAGCACGTGGAAGTTTCCGTACCTGCGAAAGGTCAAAGTTTCAATAACGTGCTCTTTCTAAGCATTCAAAGCCCGTTAAAATGGGCGGGAACACCCGACAATCAAAAAGGAATAAAAAGTGTCTGTGCGTTTGATTAACACGCTTTGAGTCCAGCACAGAGCACGACTATTGTTCTTTTTCTCTTTTTMTTATCTTGCAATACTATTTTGACTAAAGTATATGAAGTACTAAATATTAATTTATTTGATTTTATAACTATTCACAACGTTGAAGAAATGACTTTATATTTAGCTCAAATCAATAATAAAMACTTACTGTTTTGATTCGTTGTGTCACTAGTGAAATGAACTCTGTTCTTATTAATCGCCAGAAATAGCAGTGACTTGGACATAATGGACACATCTTGCGTTATCGACGCTTTTGAATGTTTTCCCCGAGAAAAAGTCATTAAAATTGATGAACAGTTTGAGTTAGCCCGTCTTGATCTTCTTACAACCGCAGTCTTTAGTCCTCTAAGGGATTTTCCTTCGCATTGTATCGCTATCAACAGCAGTAGTAACTTTGAAAATACCTGTAATTCAAAAAAGAATGATTAGTTCATTTAGGAYTTTTCGTAAAATGACAAAGCTAACTTTAAAATATTAACCATTTTTTGAAAAGATTGTTAAAGTTCTTTTCACATAATGTGTTACTTGGTTTACGATCTCGTGAGCTTCGAAGTACAAGTTGAAAAATATATTGTACAATCTTTGTACCAGCAATAAAGAAGTCAATCTTGGGTGTTACATATTTAATCGATTTGTCAATTACATAGTTTCTTCGCTTGACAGGAAACTAGGTTCGGCGAGTATTAATCCGTAATTTGTATTTTATGCGGTCTTRTGTTTTAGTATTCACACAATTACAAAAGCCTGCATCAGCGATAAAAATAGTTGCCGGTATATAAGGCACTTTTTCATTGGTTATCTCACGGTAGCCATTGTRCCCAGGGAAAACCCCAATCACAAGCATKAACTTGAACAAAAGAATCGYCGTTTTCAGATTCCGAATCATTCAAAACTTTCCGTTTTTGAACTATGTTATATAAATTCATTGCTTTTGTAGTGGGCATAACTGTTCCTGTTTTTAATAAGAGAGTTGACAACAAGATTTCATTGGTTGATAAAAATGCATAAATATAGGAGAGTCAGCTATTCTGTCAGATTCCTAAAGTGCAAATAAATCCAACAAATTCTTTCTCAAATTCTTATATAACTTCTCAACTTTAAAAAAGCGCAAAATAGCTACAAAAAAAMCCTGCATTAAATACAAATCTATGAACTAGACATAGAAGTTCTTTTTTCTATTGAAAAGAAAAAAATGTGTGAAAAATAAGCAAACCCACTTTACCTTATAAGCTTGTGTATACATTTTGAAGTGTTTATCTTGAAGAATTTGTCTTTATAATTGTACTTGAGTACGCTACTTTATCTTGCTGGTATACCGGTGATGTTGCCCGTGGCTTAAAGCAGAGTTTTATGTGGTCTGGAATCTCGGGTCCATGTTTTATAGTCCGTCCTTGGTTGCCAAGACAAATAAACTCAAATACGTCATACAAGGGGGAGATTTTAAATGAGACAACGTCATTATGCACATGAAGACACAAAATATACGCCCTGATTACAAGCAATCTACAATTCAAATGTCCTTTTTGTAAGTAGGCAAACTAAAATAGCCTTGCACTTGACGAACGCATCTCATTGACCCGGTATGTGATAAAGAGTGAACAGTTCTTGAGATCATGTGACCATTTCTCACTAGTACTAAGTACTAAGCTTAGAAATATGCTCATTTAATTTCTTCGTCGGTGGTAAAAAGGAATGAAAAACATGCAATAAACGATTCCAGAGTTTTACACATTACGATATTCTAATCCACCCACAGAAAATAGTGAAGGCTTGAATCAGCTGCCAAGAACAGTTGTCGGTGTTTTTGCACTCCCTTGTGTTCAAAAGCGGCGATATTGCTAAGGAACTGGAATGAATACACTCCTTGTTGATAACGGCCATTCACACATGTTTGTTTTTTATTAAGGTGACGATTAGTTTTGTATTTGTTTGTAAAGTTAGCAATGGTTGAACAATCGGGAGGCATCCAGTACATGTCATGTGTTAGCTTGTACCCCCACCCATGATAAATCTAATGACTGAATGACGATAATTTTAGCATTCTTTACATTGAAAAGACAGGAAGTAAGACCAAGAAAAAAAGAACGAGTCCTCGTCTTCTAAATCACATGGTATTACTAAACGACTTCCGTTCCGATTAAGTGATCACAGCGAGACACCCGGCTTCTTTGTCGAACGGTGGCTGCTAAACGTTTCACAAATCTGCTGACAATTTCAAAATGAAAACGACAAAAAAAGCTTACTTAATCAACTTTGATTTACTATGGAATTGCACCATTCTCAATGGGATAGGCGATATCACTGTAAATCTGCCTTGGAGAGTATTTGGACAGGGATTAAGATGACAAACAATTCAATTAGCAGACCAAACACAATACAAATAATGATCAGAAATGCTATAAAAACACAAAAGAAGAATAACTTTAATAAGAACATGACAAAGAAYTTTCGGCTAACAAACAAAGATTGACCAAAATGATTTTGCAGTTTGTCATTGACAACGCCGGGTCGATTGGCTGTTGGAAATTACTGAACTGTATATTTTATACCATCAAGTTTAAACTTGCTAACAGTCTCTCTGCATGAAGTGGTTTGACAAKAATAATTTTCCAAAAATAAAGCCAAACAATTATCATACCTTTTTAAGAAAGAAAACTGAAGATTCAGTATCATTAAAATAGTAATTTTCACGTATGCGTCGCTTTATTTTGCCTTTATCAAAACTGATGCGTTTTCGCGCCATTTTGTTTCGTTGTACGTTATACACAACAACAACAACAAAAAACAACAAGAATAACGCCACGAAAACGCAATATRGATGAGTCCTTTGGAAGCTTTTTTATAAAATGTTTTACACTAAGTTTTGCGAATCGAAATTCCGACGGAAGCTAGCACAACAGACTCCATATGTTCTTCCTGCCTTGCACACTTGGACGTAATGGAAGAATAAGTATTTTTAGTTTTAGGCACCCAAGCATTTGGTTTTTAATTACGACTACCTACTTTTAAAGCAAGTAAAACGAGCTTTTGCCTGTCGTTATCGTTCTGATTATCGATTTAATTAGATTTTTATCATCAGATCTCCGTGSATATCAGCCACCATACTTGAATTGATTTTTATCAGAAAGTTTTCTGTTTTTAAGCCTTCCGTAGGCTATTTCTAGGGTCGTTTATTTCTCATAAGTTACACGTGATTGAAAGAATTCACGTTGTTTTTTTTTAATTTTTATTGGTTTATATTTGGCATAACTTAACYTTTCTTTTTGGAATGCAAAACAATACAAAAACGAACGGTATTTAATATTGTATATGAAAACTTTAGTCATATTTTCAAGGATTATAAAAACAACCTTGTATTCAATCACAAAAAGACAAAACTATTTGCAATTATCAATAAGAAAACAGTAAACTTCAGACAAATAAYATTTTACAAATAGAAGTGGTTTARAATACTRAAAAGAGACCAGTTTTCACTTTGAKTTTTGAWTTTTTATGCCATTCCAAAGTTTAGTTTTTTTTTGCTTTTGCAAGTTAATTGAAAAAAAAATTAGCTGCATAGAGTCGACCCACGCTCTACTTTGCGAAAATACATCTCTTCGACACGCCAAAAAAAGTTGAAAAAGTTTTTAGGCACAAAAACTTACAAAAAACTTGGCTTAAAACTAAGGAACTACTTTCTTCACCTTACAACTAAGGTTTTTGATTCGAGACAAGTTGGTATGCGCGGAGAAAAACGAGACATCGCCATAAACTCGCAACGAAACAACGGAAAGTCGAAACAACGGTTTGCAGTTCCTAAATATCATATTATCCAGATAATACTCTCTCTATTTATGACTTAGTGATCATTTTCCATATAAAAAAACCGTTTGTAACGTCATAACTCAATAATATCGGGATTTGGATTCTTGAAATAGTTTGAATAGTTTGAATAGGTTTGGTTGGGCGGACATGAACTAATTTTTCAACGATAAAGAAATTCCTGTGGATGTCTACAGGTGACATATTTCACAAATACGCGGTGATTACGATGTCGGGTTCTCAAAAAAGCTATTCGGGTTTCTTTCCATTTGAGAGATTAATCTCGTATACACGCCGAATTCAATGCAAATAATAAAATGAGATTGATAATGAGAAGAAACAAAAGGTTAGTGTACTTTGCCGCGCAAACGATACACGTGACTCGAGACATGAAATATACAACGCACATTAGTCCCGCTCCATCTATTTCAGTTGCACTTTGAACTACAAGTGCAAATCGACTAAAAAAAGTAAATGACCACATGATCATTTTTAGATCAGCCATCTGATCGTCGATAAGGTATGTGGACGTGAGTTAAGTTCAGTTCTAGAGCGTGAAGGCGCGGATTTCAACCGACAAATCTCAAATGTGCCGAATTGAATGAAAATTACTCCAATATATTTTCCCAGTGTCATTAGCATCTCATTTACATTGAATTCGGCGCACGTTAGATTTGTCGCTTGACACGGCACTAAAGCTTCTTTTACATATAATTTTACTTTACAGAAAGATGCCGGCATTTTAATCCTTGGGTTATATATATACGAACAGTTTCACAATGCACGACYGAAATACGTATTTTTAAACTCCGTTGTTTTTTCACACGTGGGATACGCCACTTGAACTAAAATGGACAAAACACTACAATGCATTCACAAAGCATAAAATATTAATTACTACAGTTTAAAACGCAAGACTATAAATAAAACAAATTTTGTACAAAAAAACTTTGCCTTAGCTAAAGTTGAACATTTCTTACATTTAGTAGAAGCGCTCCATCGTGTAAGTACTAGTTTCTCTTGCGTAAGTAGACGTCATTTGCTGGTATGTCGTTACGCTCACTAGTACGCGCGTAGACAACGTGGTTTTTATACGTCAAAATGTGGTCGGAATGAACAAAGTATCACGTGTTTGCTTGTTGCTTGCAAAATAGTTTGACGTGCAAGACGCCGGCGTTAGAAGAATCCAGACATGCAAAGAAAAAAAAGCCAAAAATTTAAGAGATCTAACTACAGCACCGCTAAAGTCGGCGTGAGGTATGTCGATGTCTCTAATAAAACAGATGAGATAGTCCAAGCTGATGCGTTATACATCAGTACGTTAAAAGACGTACAGATAGAAAAAACAAACAAACAAACAAAAACAAAACAAAAATCATTGCAAAGCACAGTAAATTTCTTTAAAGTCGAAAACGCTTGAGGTTAACTCAAAACATCAATGGCGTCTTGATACTCCAGTAGCAATTCACATACGTAGAAAAGCCCCCACCATTACGTAAATTCACTAGCAGTTCTATCAAGCATTTCTGATGCGAAGCGAACGAGTAGAAACATAGTTAAAAGCGCCCCTCTCCATTAGCTATGGCTGAAAGAAGGGCAAATTTCGCCCAACATTATGTGGGAGTAACCTTAAAACGCGCTTCAAAGATCACACACTTWAATCGACAAGAATCTCGATGTTTCAGCTCATAACACATAAGAAAATCGACCGCATATTTTGCAATTTTATTGTTTATTTATTAAAGTTCATTCTTCCAAATATTTACTCCGCATGGTATGTTTAAATTATCAGGACTTTAGTTATGGTTGTAATTTAATGTGCATTGTTCGTTTTACTYCTTCGCAGGTAATCTTGACAACACAGGAAACCTACGCCAGACACATAGCAYATTTTATGGAATACACGAAGTCTTCTATCTCCGAAACATGTTTAATCATCCTAAATCGCGCAYAGTGAATACAAGTTTTCCTCCTTGCAAGCCTTCCTTTTTGCATTAGTAAAATACTCTGATAGTAACGATATATTGTACAGTCATATGTACTAAATACCCAGCATGGGTTACCTGTGCTTCCAAAGAACAACGCTGCTGTATTCATTTCTTTTTGTTTTTCTTTTTGCTTTTTGTCGAGGCAGTGTTTTCAGCGGGRTCTTTTCCCTGTGCAAGTGCAAGTTGTTTCTTCAAGTCCAGCAGGCGAGCGACTTCGGCGTCTATTACAGATTTTTCGGCTTTATTTGTTTTAAGATTGCGGACTTTGTCTCCCTGGYGAGATAACGCAAATACATAATTGGTTGAATTTTTGGTAAATACCACACAAATTGAAAAAAAAAACATTAAAAAAAATCATAATTTAAACAGAATTTATTCCAATCAATTACAAGTCAATCATTTAATAAATGAATCAAGCAATCAAACARCTAATGAATACATTTTTCTATAGAACTCATCAAACCACGTAAAAACCATTTCAAATAACAAACAAATGAATAAACAAGAGAAATACTGCGATAGTACTGCAATAATACCTGTGCAGTAACTTCATTCTGTAATCGTTCTATGTCTTGGTTACCATTAGCAGCAGCAGGGGGAGGTTTACTGGGACTAGGGGCAGGCTTTTGGGGTGTGGTTTTCTTTTGCCCGGCGTATTTTTTCCTCAGWTCATCGGCAAGAGAGGGTTCGATCTTCTGAAACAACGGCTTGGGCTGGAAATGAAATTATAAATTTTTTTAAAAAATAGTTCAACGTTCAAACGCCTTATAAAAAGCGCATTGACCTAGAGTCTCATTCAGGAATAACTAGAAACACAAAATAACAGGAATCAAATTTTCTATGACTAACCTGTCCAATCTTATGTYCTGGTTTTAGTATCGGAATAAAATATTCTGTGAGGACATTGAAATCACTCTCAACCTGTAAGACAACAATTAAGAGAAATCATTAAAAACACAGCTTTAATTCTCCTTAAAGATTTGAAGGTTTGGTATTGAGAAGACACAATTCGTTTAATGATARTCATATAGCTATATTTATACATACCTGGAGCTGAGAGCGAATCTCAGCGCTTATTGATGGCATGTATGGATGAATCAGAACAGACAGCAAGAACGACAAGTTACTTGCCAAACCAATCACAGTCCCAGCWCGTTTCCTGCGAGAGACAGCGAGAGAAAGAAAAGAAGCTTGACTTAAATAAAGGAATGTAACTAATACGTTGAGTATCTACAGTGGAGTAGGTAGTAGGGGGTAGCACTGGGCGAAATTAGAAAGCATATTATGAAGGAAGATGGGAGTAATATTGTCAAGTTTCAGAGCATGGAGGAAACAAGAGGACGGCCTACAACGTGACCAAAAATGTCATTGTAATTTATTAGGGAATTAAAAGGAACCCATGAAGTTAATCTTGAACAAGCTGGCTCAATCCGAAGAGGAAAACAGAAAATGTGGAATACATTCAAGTTGTTATCTCTATTGTAATAAGAAAAAGAGAGAGGGAARTTTCAATGATTTCTACCTTTCATTGTCATCTCCTTTGACTAGAACCCATGGCTTGTTGGCCTGTACATACTGGTTTCCATACTTAGAGATATTCAACACAACTTTCAGACCTTCGCGTAATCTAATCACGAAAAAATGTATAATAAACAAGTTACAGCAAAAATCCTTGTATCGCGACGTCAAAGTTTTGAAGCTTGTTGGGATTTTGGGCTTTGGTGCGACTTGTGGCGAAGTTTCTATCATATCAATCAACTATATTTTGCCTATTGTAAGACAACCAGCTACAAAGGGCCTGTTACTTAGAAGAAAGTTGGTTGCATTCCTGCAGATACCTGATTTTTTCCATGTTATCCAAGAACGACTTGAGTTCACGATTGACTAAGGCAATRAAGTTCTTGTCTTCATCYTGGAGTTCCATGTTTGGCACAACTCCATTGAAGTTATTATTCAAAAACATTAGTGCTCTGAAATGATGATGATAACGATGATAATGAAATTAAGTCCATTTGTTTACGCTAATTTGCCCTAATATATCAAGCAGCACAAATATAACAAGTGTCAGTTTACATAAACTTAGCAGAAATCAATATTGTGATATGCTTGACATCAGCCTATACCTTTACTTATGGATCAACATAAATCACAACGAGAACATTTTTCGTTTGCGCAGGCGACGCGGTTTTTGGGTACGATGAAAGCTGAATATCGAATTTGAGCTGTTTTTGTACATATACCACTTTATGGAGATTCAAATAAGTATTTGTGAGGATTTTTTTTATCGATACAGCATATCATGATTTTTTTTATCGATACAGCATTGTCGCTCATGTAGCCAAATCGTGCGCTGGTGATTTTGAGAAAATCGCGTCGCCTGCGCAAGCGAAAAATCGCTCATGTAGCCGCGGCTTTATCATGATTGAGCAATATTATTATACTCACTCACCTGTTAATAAAGTTTCCAAGATTGTTCAACAATTCTGAGTTGTTCTTCAATACAAAGTCTGACCAACTAAAATTACTGTCCTAAAGTGAGCAATAGAAAGGCTTCTTGAAGGATTTTATTTGCAATTGAGACTTGAAATGCCTCACTTTAACAGAACACTTGACGCATTGATTTTTATTCAATGCCAATATTCATTACATTGGAACCCCGCCTTGCGGCCACCCGCTTAATACTTCTACTTTGAACGCTCTGGTTTGGCCAGTTTGGCCACCCCGTTAATACGGCCGTTTGAATAAAATAAKAATAAKAATAATATATAAATARATAATAATAATATGAATGAAATAAGTCATACCTGACCCTCGGGTCTCATGTACAGAAGATAAAATCGCCATATATCAGCAGGAATTCCAGAGTCGGTCGCATTATCACCAAACACACCAACACCACGACTTTTGGAAAACTTGTCATCTTCATAATTCAAGTACTCTGAGAATATGAAACACTTTATTAGAATGTTACATTTAATCTTTGAGTTATATATGGTATCAAAGAGGCAAGATTTTGAGGTAACTCCGAGTTTCGTGCTACGTACTCATCAGACAATATTTAATCCTATTTAATCCTTTGCAGAGTTATAATAAAATCAATGATATRTAGCGTACCCGTTGCCGAGATGCTGTTCAGCAAAGTGTAGTTGTCATCGGCTCCGAGTAGAGTACTTGGAAAGACCACTGTGTGAAAGGGAACATTGTCTTTTGCCATGAACTGATACAATGTCACCTGTGAATAACAAAACAGGACTTTGATGTCAATTACCCAAGTGTACTAGAGAGCGTAAGCTCTTCACCAACCTGCTGAGGGTTTTTCCACCATCTCTCCCATTCTTCTGTGTAATTAGCAGTGATTGACAGGTATCTAAGAAGATTTAAATAGCAACGAAGACAACAAAGAAGCGATGCATATCAAATGGCTACGACCATCGTTAAATCAACAAGTCAAACACTTAGCTCTCTCTTTGTCTTTGTAACTTTATAACAACATATTCACGTGCTATGTTTACTATATATATATATATATTACTTTCCTTACTTTGTATTCATTCTGATGATGGCGTAAGTAACGCCGAAACATGTCAAATACACCACATTTAAAAATCGTAATTGTTATTTTAAAATAACGAAGACATTAAAGAAATACTATAGCACCACTGCCTGCATACAGACCATTATTTACCCAATCTCCACCCAAGCAAATATCACGACTATGTTCACATMAATACCTACCCGATAGGAGCATCAAACCARACATAAAATACTTTATCTGTGTATCCATCCAGAGGTACAGGTGTGCCCCACTTYAGGTCTCGGGTGATGCACCGTGGCTTTAAACCTTCCTGTATCCAGCTGCGTGTGATCTGTCGGGAGTTAACAGTCCAGTTTCCTGAAGGCACAATACATTATATTGAAAAATGGAAACATGTACTTTATTATACGTAAAACCATAGATGATACTGAAATTCCAGCAAGCAATTAACTTACTAGAATGATTCTCTTGTAAAACAGTTGTGATAAAATGTGGAAAATATGCAAAGAATAACACCTCAGCTCCWACAGTTGAATGCTACAGTGAGTACCAACTGAAGATATATTTTTGCTCTGTCAATTAATGTTTCACCAAACTGCTTTCAAGAACAATTCCTCAAAACTCAAATGAATAAATTTATACTTTGTTATACTTTGCAGTTTTTAAGTCCATTAAAGTTTGGAGTTTTGATTGACAGTAGCAAATACACCTAGTAATCATTGGTTAGTTTCAACTATTTGAGTATGAATCATTAGGAAAACTGTAGTAAMGTTAATCTCAGTACCTTCACTTGAAGAAYTTTCTACCCAGGCCTTGAGGTTTGGCTCAAGCTACCAAAAATAACAATAATAACATCAATAATGTTTTTGACAGTTATTTCAAGCAGTTAGCACATATCTTTAAATATTAATATTTAACAATATGGTACTAATAACCTATCATAAAAAATGTTTTTTACACCAATTTATGTTGCGTGTTTCCTCATACTTTAATCAAAACATACCTCAGCAAGATCTAAAAACAAATGTTTGCTTGACTTGGCCTCTGGTTTGCCACCACATACTTTACATTTRGGGTTCTGTAATAACATGTTATGGTGAGTTGAATTGTATTATGTATGTTTGCAATAAAACATTTAAGTCACCAAACTTACTTTCAGTTCAATAGCATTGATTARTTTACCACAAGCATCACACTGRTCACCACGGGCATCCTAACAATAGATGTTAAWTATCCATTTTAGCACAAAAGGAGAGTAGCTCTTCCTTTGAAGGAATATGATTCATCAACAAACAACAAAATATTATCATAAATCACAAATTTTGACAATTAATTGGCTTTACCTCATAATTGCAAAAAGGACATGTTCCTTCAACAAAGCGATCAGCTAAAAATCTGTCAATGAAAGCAATAAATTATAACTATTACTATTAATTAGTAATAATAGGGAAATATGTTTATCCATTAAGTGTGATAGCTGTACCTTTTACAAGCTGTACACTGCAGCTGCTCTATGGAGTCTTCAAGAAGATGTCCTCTTTTATGAAGTCTCCAGAAAATATCTTGAGCAATTCTGAAAATAGGCAAGAGTCATAAATATGTTATACATGTACTACTATGAAGGTAACATCTTACAGTCAACCCACCATAATTGTCAGTTTCAACACATGTACACCACACTGCAAGTGAGAGCAGAATTCACATGACTGTGTTTGACTGTATTTCTCCTTGTAGTGACACCAAATAAAAATAGTATTTCAAGAAAACATCTCTGCTGTGGCATGGCACGTCCACAACACAAAAGTGCCAGTTTTTTTTCACAGTCATACAAATTCTACTCCATTTGATTTAAACTGAATTTTTTTTTGTCAGTGATAGAGCTTACTTTGTTTGTTGCTCGGTAGTTGTGCGGCCAAAGTAATCAAATTTTATGTTGAACCATGAGTAGACATCAAAGTGGATTTTATAATATTTGTCGCATATCTCCTTAGGAGTCAGTCCTTCTTCTAGGGCCTAAAAGGGAGAAAAATAATTATACTAAGTGAGCACAGAATACATGCTCGTCCTGTTGCATTAAAAGAAAAAAACAAAACAAAATACAATTGTATTTCAATGAGCTWAAGGTCGAAGTAACTTGTATTGTCTGTTATACTTGCATGCTTAAAAGACTGTAATCATCACTMAAGGGCAAGCAAACTGACTGTACTCAATGTTGAAGTGAGAACAWTGGCATKTTTTGATTATTTTATAGASTACCTTTGTCTCAGTRGCTGTACCATACTCGTCAGTACCACAAATGTATAGTGTATTATAACCACGGAGACGACAATACCTAAATAGTAATAATATTTAAGTGTTATTGCTACCTATCAAATTTTGCAGTATTCAAATTTTATTGTAAGGATGAAAGACAGTAGAGAACTGAAGAGTGAAGATGAAAAAATAAAACCATTTGCAGATGGAGAAACAGCATATTAGCAAGTAAATACCTGGCAAATACATCAGCACTGAGGACACAGCCAATGATGTTCCCAAGATGAGGGACATTGTTAACATATGGAAGAGCACTGCTGATAAGAATGTTTTTCTCCCCCTCTATGGGCAATCTACGAACCAAATAATCAAGAACAACAATAAACCAATGGTCACATTAATCAACTTAACTTTCAGTAGTTGTTATATAATAATGATGTAACAAAATAAATGTGCAAATGTAACAATTAATGGTGGAGTAATTTGCAATAAATCAGTAAGTTTGACATTTTGTTAGTAAAAGTCACTTAGTAATCATGGAATGATAATTTGTGAGTCTGCCATCTAAATCATGGAGGCTTTTGATAACCCTATTCTCCTTTAGCAGCTGCTATTTGGACCATTCCTCCCCTACTAAGTCCTGGGAAGGACTCTGAGCCAAATAACAGCTGTGGGATTAAACAATAATATAACCCTTACATTGGATGATCTCTTTTCTTGGCAGTCGTGTGATTACTTGCCACCCAAGCATTAAAAGAGTCAGAGATCTCACTTGCGGAAGCTTGAATCTTTGTTATGGTGATTCCTGTGTTCTGTATAAATTATGAAGGAATTTTATGCTCATTTTCATTAAATCCACCTGAATTTATATGACAAAATATCATGCAAACAATCTTGATCTTTACACATGATGTCAATAGCAGCCGCATTGTTGTACATCGAACAAGATTTCTCATTAGCTTCAATTGTAATGTACACCTGCAATGATTTGGCTGCACTATCTTTTGTTCTTTATTTGTCAAGCGATTTGTCAATCAAATAAGTCTCTGAGTTAAAATACCTCTTCAGCTGTTCCATTGACTTTTGTGGCARCTGGCTTTTGTTGTCCTTTAAACACACAATTTTATTAATTTTGTTTTTGTGTGAGTGTAATGATGAGACAAGACACTCTATCTTAGTCATGTTGGAAAGTCCTGGTGAGCAAACTTGTGTGTTCTAATGTGAGTGAACTGCATTCTGAACATATCAATACAATGAGTAATAAACAAAGATTAACTTACTTACCTTTTGACTTATTATTTTTAATTGCTTTTGGCTGTCTTTGACTTTCATCTGATGGTTGTGAATCAGAAGCTGCAGTAGRYGAATTGGAATGGCTTTGGAAAAACTCCTGCAACATCAGGGCGAAACATGTTWGCTTTTTGACAAATTTCCATTCACTCAATGAATAYAGGTCTGCAMCCTCTCTACATCTATCAAACTCTACTCACCTTAAAYGTTGCACAAGAAAAGTTTCCTTCYTCCACTCCATCACTGAAAGCTTTAAGCTCTGCAATTGTTGAATTCCATTTCCTGATATTCTCATACTGTGCACCTAGTTAAAGACAAATTTAATTAGAATAGTATCGATAGGCTAATGACTTCATTCATCACTGAATTAGGAGTAGATGGCTTGCCGGGTTTTTAATTAACATAAAAGAAATCTGCAATATAAAAGAACCACAAAAATGACTGTCTCGACTCTTAAGATAAACACAGTGCTTGTTTCTATGATATTGTGTTTGCAATCTTCAAAGACATTGTTTATGAAAAAAAGGTATGTTTMGCCTTCAAATTTACATTTATTCCCCTAAAATTGATCGTACCAAATATTTGAGGTTCACTGCAYACAAGAGGATATAAAGAACTCCAAACAACAACATCAGCAAGACCAGGCTTTTCCTGCAAAATTACCAAATACTTCATTAGTTCAGTGTATATAAATTACACCCATTGTATATTAAATAAAAATTGAGGGCCACATGAAATTCATTCAAAGCAAACATTTTACCCCAGAAATGTGTCTTTGWTTCTTTAAAGCTAGCTCTAAATGTGACAGAAAAACAGACAGGTTCCCTTTTGATTGCTTGGTGTTGTTTGATTGCAGACAGGATAAAATTGCTGGCTGAAATGAAAATGGCAACTATAATAAAATTTTAATTGTATCATTAAATGTAATGTAAATTTGTTATTGTAATATAGTTGGTTCCTAGTCTTTTAAATACAACATCAATGCAGCTTTATCTTGGAGACAAATGATAAAAGGATTTTGGCGCTCTTGGTAAATGAGATTGTTAAGTTCCAAAGATGACATTCCTGTGATCCAAGAGGTCAAGAGGATTTGATTTTGGATCCTCTACCGTATCTCAACTCTTGCATCAAATGAGGCACCCTTGATATGAGGACCTATTAAGCTTTTCAGACAGGTCCTTGGTTTATAAAAATAACATAACTTTATTCACATCAAGCTGCAAGATTAAATCATGACAGTTTTGATCATGTGATTTTGTACCTGTAAATGTGTGTTTTCCCATTCAATCCAATGATTGTCAATAGCATCTTGTTCAGCATTTAACTTTTTCTTTGCAATTCCTTCCATAAAATATCTTCAAAAAAATTAATACTTTCCTTTAGCTACATCAAATCAGAGTTAGTAGAGGAGGACGGATCAAATATAAAACTATTTGTTCCTTAATATAAACCCAGTCAAAAAGTGATTGATGGATGTTGTGCACATAACACAGCACTGATGAATAAAACATCAGCATTACACTGATGACTAACAAAAAAATCAGTAGTGTATCAGGACATACATGGTTTTGACAAAGCACTGATGAATAAAACATCATAGCAAGTGCGAAAATCTGAAACACTTACTAGACTAATGGGAATATCAATACTGTATATTGGAATATGCAAGATTTTAGTCACATGACCTAGTAGAAAACACTGATTGGATTAAAAGCTCATGAATTATTAACAGGTTTTATAATAGAGTATAACATACCTACAAATAGCATTGGGACTAAACAGGAAATGACCATCATCTAATTCAAGAACTGGTAACTATAACATACAACAATGATCACAAAGATATCCTGTAGYCTTGTATTCTACTACATAGATAGTAGACAAGCATATAAAAACTAAGCCAGTTTAAATGCTGTTGCTTCCATTGACTGATGCACCTTATATGACTTCCTTTTCAAAATGACATTTTAAATAATGACGAAGAGAAATCAGAAGTACTATAGTGTGAAACCTTCTATTCAGCAGGGAGCAGATCACCAGGGGTCGCAAAGAAGAAATCGAATAGAGGAAAGAATTAAATGGTAAGAGGTTCAAGGGGATTGCACTACATCATCACCAACAATTAATCTATCTACCACGAAAACAAACAAAAAAAAAAAACAAAAAAAAAACAATCAAAACAGTTTACCTTGGTGTGAATTCCTGGTAATGGTAATTTTTGTTTTTCTAGAATACAAAAGTTACCTTGTCAGAAATGGAACAATGGTAAGAGTGGATGAATGGGAAGGGATGGGAGGATTATTGTACTCTTTAATCATATGAATAACACAGGTTGCTTGAAAAATCTTTAAAATGTTCCTCATCCAATCATTGATTTAGGAAAAGCAAGCAAAGAAAATATATAAATTTGCAAAAGATATCTATTTAAATTACATATTTCGGTGACAATTCTATTTTAAAATAATAGAAACAAAAACAAAACAACATACCTTCTTGGCTAAGATATTTCAAGTCMACAKATTGCCCAGATAGATTTTTTGCGACCAAAATACGCAGTAAATTSGGGTYTCCTTTGTCACTATAGAGCTTCATGTCACAACTGATTTTATAGTAATATCTTAGACGAGTAGGGAACCCAGAAAATATCTTTTTAAAGTGTAATGGATGTCGAAAAAGACCTGCTACCGGCTTTATAGCGGTGAACATCTGATAATTTCCACTCACATGGCGTCCGCGCAACTCGAAAGACTGAGGCGAGACAACCCCCTCCCACCCCCTCTCAATTTATTGACCACTGACTCTTAAGTCAGAAGGCTCAAGGCTTATTCTTGTTGTCCTTGGAGAGGGATGTAAGCAAGCCAATGTATTTTGGCTTGCGACGATTTTAATTGCGAGACAGAATCAGCTAACAAAGACCTAAAAAAATAGACCTGAAAAAATGAGCGACGTTGTTGCAACATGGGAAGTCGCCCTTGCTGATCGCGTGCACAAGGTGCAGTTTGAACATGGCACTACAACGGGACGACGTGTGATAATGGTCGACAATAAAGAAGTCTTAAAACGRAATTGGATGTTTAGGTTAGTTGGTCAGGAGACTTTTGACATTGGAGGAAAAAGAGCGACCATTCATATCGAAGCAGTCAGTGGTTTCCAGTACGAATATACCCTTGAAGTTGCTGGAAAATCCCTCAAAAAATTCGTGGAAAATCGAAAGAAAACAGCTAAAGTGTGGACACTGCTGCTAGATGGCGAGGAAACAAGAATTGTTTTAGGTAACGTCGATAAGCTTTATAATCATAAAGTATATCAAATAAGATAAAATAACTTTTGTCGAGCTTTGTTTTAGCTTCAATACCACAATCGATTAGTTCAATTCATCAAAATCGAATAGAGGTTTTGCGGTTTGGGTTTCAGACTTTATAAAGTGAACTTCATCCAGAACGCTGTTTTTTGAAGGTTGAATGTGTACACATATATTAAATTGTTGCTTTGCCAGCTGGTCCCAAATCTCGCTGATGAATTAGAGCTGAAGTTGTGATTCAACTCACTTTCTTCATTATTCTACCATTCAATCCATTTTTTCAATATTTTAATGTCACTTCTTGGTCAAAAACGTCTTTAAAAAAAAAGTTGGATATGGATAAAGGATATAAATTGAATTAAACTGAATTCATGTAGTGAGAGGCAAATGCTCAATGTTGTTTTATTTGAAAGCTCTTYATTGCACATGTATATCAGGGTTTCAGTTTTCACATTTGAATAAACAGAATTATTAAAAAATATGAAGATAGGTTC